TAAATATTATATGCTATGTCATATTTAGAATTATATCAAATATCATATCCTATAATATAAAAAATTATATTATATACCATGTTAGATAGTATATCAAATGGTATTATATTATATGATACTATACTATATGGTATTATATTATATGATACTCTATTATACAATATTATATTATATATTACATGATCTTATATTGTCTGATATTATATCATATGATATTGTAATTTATAATACTATATAACATGATATTATATGTTATGTTGTGATATTCGATGTTAGATTATATTGTCTTGTATTGTCCTATACTGTAACATACTGTGTTATAATACAACCTAGCATACATTATGTTATAGTATACTATCTTTATGATATTATGTTATGTCATATGGTACTATACAATATTCTACTATATTATGTTACACAATATTGTTACTGTATTCTACTATACCATGCTGTAGGTATACTATACCATACTATGCTATGCTATGCTACACTATACTATCTGATACTACTTGCTTTATTAAATTCCATTACACTTCGTACATTATGCTATGTTATATTATGCTGTATTGTCGTTTCTTATCTTATCAAAAAAACTACTTTATGATATCAAATTATGCTCTGATATATTAACCTATATATCATACTACAATACACGAAGTTATACTGTATGTTCCAGTATTACTGCACCAGCTGATCTTTCTGAGGCGGTCCGCATCTCCGAAGGCGACACCAGGGAAGGGAATGCAGTATCTCTCATGGTACGGGCAGACCTGACGATCATGGTCCGGGCGTGCGATCTCACGAGCTCCGAACAGCTAGCAAGACCGCAGCGCAGCCTCCAACGGCAGAGCCGTGAACGTGAACTCATTGTTGATTGTGTCCTGCACACACGAAGGGTACAGCGAAGCCGAGCCGCAAGACCGAAAGCCCCAAAGTCCTGCAGGCTCGCTGGCACCGAGGGGTTCCTGGCTAAAGTATCCCAGGCAAACTTCCAGGATGCCGTGGGTGTTGGTGAGTAGACGTAGCTGCGGAGACCTGCGATGATTTCGACGCATGTCAACAACCAGAACCACTTCATAATTCAGCCTGACTCACTACGGAAACACAAAGGGCAGAGGAAAGGTAACGAAAACCCCGTGGTCCTGGCCTGGAACTGAGGAGTCATTAACCGTCGGCGCGGCGCAGGATGTCTGATTCAAGCAAACGGCAACCATGAATTTGGTCATCTCCTTTGCCAGAAGGCGTGTGGAGAGCAAGCGCAAAGATGTAAAACAAGAACAAACCAACACCGACTTTCGGAATCGGCCGTGGCACACCCCAAATCGCTTCTGCATCAAAGGACACCGCGTTCGCGCTGCCCGACGAGAAAAGCGACGCGGCTTTGCTGGGATCTGTGAACTCCGACATCCTCAGAAAGCGCTGGGGTGGTCGTGGGTGCTTGTCTGGACATCACGGCCAAATGCAGCTCCCTCTTGGAATTATTGACTGACGTAGTCCTTGAACCGATGGAGCTCGCTGCGGTCGCTGGATCCTGAAAAGAATCTGATGCTGTGAACGAACGACAGTGACAGATGGAAACTGAATGCACACGGGGGAACGGCCTCAATATCTTGTAGGCCCAAGCTGGCTTGACAGCTGGCGCAGGGTAGCTTGCAGCAGGCACATCGGTAGTCATCCAGGTCGGCCTAAGTGATACCGGAAACAGGAGCCTAAACGTCATGCTCCGGACCTGCCTAGCTCTTTTCAAACACGTTAGCCCAGTTGCGCTTGAAAGAATGGTGACCAAAGCGTTCTCCGCCTCGCCATGTGAGCTTAATATCAAGAAGGCTTCTCTGCCCGACTTGCGCAAGACTTCTCTGCGAACCAAGAGAGAATGCAAAATGCAAGGCCAAACATTCCCAGCAGTAGGTGCACTGGCTCCTTCGCTGACGAAGCTGACTGGGGCCCACGCTGCTGTGGAACAGATCAGCTGTTTCGCAACCTCGTCCACAGTCGCAGATACGTTGAGTGTCCTGTGCAACATGCGGCCACGTGCAGCAAGAGGACACTACGTTTCTCAGCACCACCGGTTGCCCCCAAATCCAAGGACACCGGGAGATGTTGAGAAGGGGCAGGTGAGATTAGAACTCGGCTCTACTGTATGCTCTTCTGCAGGCTCTCGCAGTGTGAACTCTTCTCTGAACCGCAATGGAAACCACAAAGAGAACGCAATCCCTGTCCTAAGGAGCTTCTTCACTCCCTGGTACTCTTCAAGATCGCAATAGTCGCCTTTGAAATCGCGCCTCGCAAGACCCAGTCGATACATGGAAAAATGAATCAAAACTGTGCCACGTCTTCCTCCAGATCAAGACGCGCAGCAGCGGGTCACAGGCCCTATGCGACGCGACCGTCTCATCAGCCAAGCTGCGGCAAGTACAGTTTCGAAGGATTCCCATCCGCATATCCAGCAAACACGATCGCTGCGAAGCCAAACCAGTGCCTCAGAGTTCGCACACTGTGTACGTTTTCACATAAAGAATACAGTACTCTGTGCATGTACATAACCGAACACACGATAGCCAGAGCTGGTTTACAGGCAACTACAGCCTCAATCACGACGCTTCCGGTGCAGGCCGCACCATGCTCATAAAGCTTCTGAGGGTTCTTTACAACTGAAGCGTAGCCACCATCCCCCGAATCGACCATGATCGTTGCTAGGTTCTTGTTATTGCCAGGAGTGGCCTGGGCTGGGCCTGGTTCAACCTAGCACCACTGGCGTCCCAGGTAGAGCAAACTACACATCAGCCCTGAAGCTGAGGCCGCCAATCTTTCACGCAAGCGCCCGAGTTCCAAGCGCAAGTACTGTCGGCCGATCAGCTCAAACATACGCATAGCAACTAGGGCCAAGGCAACACGAAGATGATGCAGCAAAGAATATCCGTGCAGTGGCGATTCTTCACCGGACCTCCCGAGACGTCCTTCTCGCCACCCTGAGCAGAAAGTGCATGAAGTCCGCTGCTGCATGTTTCGTGGGGTTGCTGGCATCCGAAAACTCAAAGGCGTTGCAAGCATGGGACACCAACTTCACATCGGAATCCTAAACTTAAACCTTCTTGCCTGCATCCATGGGGGGCGGATTCAATGCAAACGCGCGGCCTTGTCGAACTTTTGCTCAGCTTTGGCTTCCTGCAAATGTAGGCTTGTGCGATTCGGGCGAAGCTGGTATTCCAACACGTGTGGCACTCACTACTAAGAGACTCCAAAACCCCTTAATTAAGGAATATACCTTAAATTATGGTAGGATCCCTAATATGATTTAAGGTCTAGTCCTTAATGAAGGGATATTGGAGTCTCTGGGTACTCACTAAGGCTTGCGAGCGTCATCGTCGCGGCTACAGCAGCAGCTGCCCATGACTGGACTGCGCCGGGCCCCTGCGCCAGGGGCCCCCGAGTATCGCCAGCCTTAACTCTCAAAGCTTCGCGAGGATTAAATAGTAGTTAATTAGTTAATAAGGGATCATATATGCACTAAATAATTAGAACATAATAAAGTAATTAGAGAACACCCAACAACAGCAGCAGCCTCGACTTTGCACAGCACTTCAGGTAGGGTGGGTCTGTGCGTGTGAGAGCCCTTCGACCTACATTTCGCTTTCGCTTCGTCTTTCCTTGGCAAACACGGAGCTGACAGCTCTGCAAAGCCATCCCCACGGTGCTCCAACACAGACTTGTTCAGAGCATCACAGCATCGACAAGAAGCAGAAACAAGAAGCAGCATGAATAGCGATCATCACCATCACCACCATCATGTCCAATGCTACCACCGTCAACATGGAAAAGGTAAAACAACAAAACTAGAAGGCGTTGCAAAGAACAACACCCACTGCGCAGGAGTGTGTGATTTGACCATCTCAGCAGCTCTTAGTCTTGGCCCGCAGCAGACAAACGGAGGTCTGCGAACGCTCTGCCTTCCCTCTCGGGCCGCGTCGGCTGGCGGAATGCAGACATGTGGGTGGTTCCCTAAATTAGGGTCCCTTTTAGGGTTTTCTTTTACAAGGGTGCCGTACTATATTGGGGACCTAAAAAGGGACCCTAATTTAGAGAACTACCCATGTACCAGAACCGCGGGCGAAATCCCATGCAGTCTCCGTCAACTCCCAAGTCCGAGCACTGAAACTACACCTCCCCCTTGCCCGGGAGCTACAGCCATGAAGCGATCAGCTCTCTACCGAGTCCTGCTTAAACGTCCTCAGCCGTTTACGAATGGCTTCGGCATTGTCGTCGGCCCTGGTCCAGAGCAGAATTCGTCTACGTCTAATTCTCGAGGTGCGCTCAAGACGAAGGCGAAGGCCTTCCGCTCGTCTTCCCTCGCTCCAGGATGCGTGCCTTTAGGGACTTTAGGGTCGAGGGTTTAGGGCGCTCTTTGGCTTGGGGTCGCTACGCCTACGCGCAGTGGCACGTCCTGGCCTCCATGACGGCTTCCGAGCAGTCGAAGAACAGAGCAAATTGGACTTCCACGGAATCTGTCCAGTTTTGACAAGTCTTCATAGCTATCCACGAACTGCTTGTGAGTCTGCTGGCAGTGCGGAAGATGTCGAGACACCACTGGCCGAACGCCCTGCCTCCAATCACCTTGTCCCAACCGTCCATGTTGTCGAAACTGCGTGGGAAGCCATCTATGAGGAACTTGCCCTGCAAGCACGCCGTGAATGCACGTGCAAACCTTGCAACTCCTGGATCCACATCCGCACCTGTGCCCAGCCGTGCTTCTCCATCGCCTGCTTGAGAAGCTTCACGGTAATCTCGACCGGAACCAGCTGCCCCTCCTTCCATGGATGGCACCCTAAACCCTAAACCCTAAACCCTAAACCCAAAGCAGCAACAAGCTCTGACGCATTTTCATCATGGCAGGTGGCCTTGATGTAGCTCTCTATGAGCTCACCATACTCGGAGCCGGGTCGACTTCGCTCCTGGCTACGGTATCTACCCCTGATGAGGGAACCCCCCCTTTCACTCACCAGGGTTTAGGATTTAGGGTTGCGCAGATCCTCAGATTGAGGTCCGTGAAAGAAATGTGTTTTTTGTTCATCAGGAGTCCGCATGAAACCAAGAGCGCGAATCGAAGGGGGAGATGAGGTGTTCGAAGTGGTGAGAGGCCATGGAATAAACCCCCCAAACCACAAATCCTGGGCCCTAAACCTTAAACTACAAGGCTTAGGGTTTAGAGGTAGGGCTTGGGGTTTAGGGCTTGAGGTTTAGGGCCGAGGGCATCTATGGCAAAACTTGTCGCGCCCAGCTCCTCGCGAAGCAGGTCTCCAGCACTCAAGTGGCGGTACCCGAAGGTCTGCATCAAAGAACCGCAGCGGGGCTCAGCATCCACAGGAGTTTGGGATTCACGATTTGGGGTCTCCAGGTTTCGGGTTTGTTTGAGATTTCTTCTAATTAACGGCTTAGAGTTTAGAGGTTTACGGTTGTGGACTTTGGCTTCATGATTCAGGCTTAAGACGCCATAACAGATGTAGATCTGTATAAAGTCTTCGGCCCTGGCAACTGCGCGGCAAACGCGCCTCGCTGATCCGCGCGCACTGGGTGCCTTTGCCTTTGCAAAAATGGAATCTGTAATGTGCTTGCAACGACCTTTACACAGTATGCCACAGGAAGTCGCTCCAACCGTTACTTTCAAGAGCAAGATCTTCAGAACCCGAAGGAATCTAAAGAATATAAGAAATTAGACATGTCACGACATTAAGAAAGGTAAGGAATTCAAACCGTTTAGGGAGGTTAAGGAGTTTCAAGAACTGCGGTGCTTCCATGTGGAGACTTCGAAGTGATTCTTTACTGGTCTCTAGACAGAACGGAGCTCGTCAAATACGGCACAAAAGCCCCACGCACATGGCCACTGAGAACCAAAACCCCAAGATCAAGCACCAAGAAAAAGACCTTCAGAACAAACATCATGCTATATTATATTATACATTATATTATATATTATATTCTAATATATTGTATATTATATGATATATTATATTATATATTTCATTGGTGGAGAGCTCCTGAGCTGCTGAATCTGCTCTCCCCCTGAAGTCGTCTTTAAGAACTCACCTTAGGCGTTCCCAAGAGACTCCAAAACTCTTTAATTAAGGACTAGACCTTAAATCATATTAGGGATCCTATTATAATTTAAGGTATATTCCTTAACTAAGGGGTTTTGGAGTCTCTGGGTCTCTCTTCCAGAGCCATGCGGCCAGCTCCCGGGCCGCCGAGAACGAAAACCACCGAGGGCCTTTCCGTCGACTCACGCTCGGTTAGTGCGTTAGAAGGGTTTAGGGTTTAGGGATTAGGGTTTAGGGTTTAGGGTTTAGGGAGTTAGGGTTCCTACAGGGCTTAGGGGTTCTAGGGGTTTAGGGCTTTGGGTTTAGGGCTTTGGGGTTTTAAGGTTTCAGTGCGGTTTTTAGAGGCTTCTGCCCCGAGCGTTGACCCCACTGCAGGATGCTGCTAGAGTCTAGAGGTGTTGCACAGACGCTGCAACAGTCATCACACACTGACCGATTCTCGGCCTGCCAGCGCTTGGGCCAACTTGCGGGATCAGGCTGACTTCGAAGTAACAGTGGATTCGGAAGGCGACCTTCTGCGGCAGGTCTTTGCAACACATTATACTATTCTGAGAACCACTGATTCATTACATATTGTATATATATATATATATGCATATAACTGTATATATGTATGTATATATATATATATATATATATTTACTTATTTGTCAATAAGTACATACATGTGTATATACAATATATCTCACATAAGATTCATACGACATACAGTACACAGCTCATATATTGCAAAGTAAATAGTCAAGAAAGTATACAGTATGTAGTATGAATTTTGCAAAGGTAATCGAAAAGGGCGTCTGCAAATTTACCTGACATGGCTTTACTGATCTCAAACCTGGCACTACAGTCGGATTAAGTTGTTCTGCTGCCCTGCCGTGTCCTCCAACCCTGACCAAGGATTGCCGAGAGTTAATGTGGAGGGGCACAGTGCTCTTTATGCAAGCCACTGCAAGGCCATGTTCTCCCAAAGCATGGACTTGGTGCAGTGTTTCACAACGGTACCCAATGCTTGCAGGATGTTGCCAGCAAGCCACCTTTGCAAGCGCCCAAAAGCCAGTGTCCCGAAATTCTCAATGTTCTGCAATGCTGCCCGAAATCGAAACTGCAACGCGTACGCCATGTGCTGATCGCTGTAGGATTGCAAAGATGACAAAATGTTGGCAGGTGGGTTACTACTCCGCACAGACCGATAGGGATGGAGCCTCATGTTGTACATTCGATAACCCATGATAACCCGCATTCAACCCACAAGATCTTGTTGCCTTATGGGCTCTGAATAGCTCTGGGCCCATTGCCATTCCCAACTTTGCTGTGGTCCGTTCTACTGCTCCTCGTTACTCTGCTGCTCGAGTGCTACTCGGCACATCTGATCATCTCGCTGCCAGGCAATGTCGAACTAAGGCCCGGACGCAAAAGCGAACGAATTCTGCAGCATCTGTCGGGGCCACAGTCTCCCTAGACCTTTGCAGGAATTGCAGGAAACGGTAATTGAATGCAGAGCTAAAGATACAGCCTGAAGCTTGCGCCTCACCGTTGTGGACATCGGACTCCGAAGCCATGCAGTGTGTTCAACGGCCGACCCAGAAGCAACTACGACTCAAGCGCCGACGACGACACATTCAACACGAACACGTCTGACTGCTTGGGCAATTCCACCGGTGGTCAGAAGGTCTCCTTGCGGCAGAGCGGGCATGCTCATAGAAGAGTGTTTTCTCGAACGATCAACAGACCGCAACATATATGCTTTACAGGAAACGAAGCCGCCGAACCATCGGTTTCATGAAACCTCAAGGATGCCAGGATGCTGAAGAGTTGTGAGCAGTGAGCAGCCCACGACCCACAAGACCGCCCCGTCTCGAAAGGCCCTGCCTGCTCGCCACGGTTTGTCAAGGGCTCACCAGCCACGCAGTTTTGGAGTGGCAACCCCCGGCATGTTTGACACATTGCAAACGAGAACACGTATGAAGATCCTGATTTCTTGTCGTCTTCCCTCGCCGGAGTCCGGCCGCATCTTTGCCCCGTCGTCCCGTTATCGAGCACCTGTGGTTCCACGTCTGCAGGAACAGGTTCACCAGATGCTGGCTCAATCGTTGAGAGGCTGTTGCCGGCCACAGGAGTGTTACATTCAAGATACCTATGACATAAGACAAATCATTCAATCTACGAGTCATGCAAGTACTGATGCTAAGCTGACAGGCCACGACATCCTAAAACGCGGAGTCGATTAGAAGACACGCCATCGCCGATTTGAAAATGCCCCGGTCGACGAAAAACAAACGAAAGCCGAGAGGTTAGATTTGTTCATGTGTTCCCTCCACTCGTACCAGTATCAGCCAGAACTGAGCCAGGGCTCCGGTATAGAAAGTTGTGAGCACACCCATTGGTGTTATTAAGATAACAACTTGTGCATACAAACACTCGTACAATCTATCAGACATATGACAGGTGTAAATCTGATCTGATCTGTTTCCCCAGTAAAGCAGGCGACTCTAGGCATCTGCAGGGAAACCACTCAGACGCGAACTTGCCCGTCAACTGGCTAAAGGCGGCCAGGATGACGGAAATCACGGCAGAGGCGTCTTCTCGGAACCTCGATTCTGAGGGAATCGTCAGATGAGCTGGGAAGTGAGACAGAGACGATTGAAGTAAGTGCACTCACTTGCAAATCAAAGCAGGCTGCTGTGTTGGCTAATCTCTGCGCTGACGTCATTTGGCAGTGTCTCCATCCGTTCGGAGGATACACTTCAAACGCACCGCTCCTTTGGAGCGGCGAAACAAATCACTTTGTGCCACCACACGCCACACCTACAAATACCTAACCGTAGCTTGTCAAAAATGCCGCTGAACCTTGCTATACTTTAGCTTCAGGAGTGGAGCCTTGCACTTCCCCACATTGATACGGTGACCATGTCTGTCTTCATCTTCACGTGTCTCATTGCCATTTAAGCCAGGCTAACAGGCTGCTAAACTGAGCACGTTTATCAGGGAGCCGCAGTCTTAGCGAACAAGCTCAGAGAGTTGGAGGCCATTCCAGCTACCCCCATCCGACGATGCTTTGTCAAGATGTCCTTGAGGGCATCGAACTGGTTTATGCTCATTCGGCGACCTCCTTGGCCAAACAGGTCAGCGCATGACGAAGAACTTGAGAATAGATGCAACATATTCGGCACACAGATGCTACGGGTTGCTTGGAGTCTTTGAGCTTCCCTCCTAAGTCTTGGACCTTTCCTGACGTAAGTCTGCACGCCCAAGCTAGATGCCTTCTCCTGCGGAACGTGGACTGCGGATACTGAGGACAGAGCGCGGCACAAAGACAAATCGAGATGAAGAAACAACACGGCCACGTGTCGGGATCCGCCTGCGACCGCTCCAGCAATTCCGAGTACCCTTTCCTGCAGCGAAACGCATCGCAAGATTTGAGGAGTCACTTAAACCTGAACCCTAAACCCGAGACTCAGGTCGTGGCACTTCACTGTGCAGCCCAGATAAGTCGCTGATGTTCGGGCCTACGCAGGGCTTGATTGAAGGTGGGTTTAGGGTTTAGGATTTTGGGTGCAGGGTTTAGGGTTTACGTACGATATGGAACGTAGAGCATATGATATCTCACCTGGTATATGTAACATATATTCAAATATGATACTATATGATGTACGACATATGACATGATATACGGCATATAGCTTACAAGGTGAGGCGAGTCTGCTCTGGGGCCACCACAGGGAACATCGTAATGCTGGAAGAGCTGCTTGGCCTCTCGGTACTGAAGAGAACTTCGGTTCAACACCCCGCGCGGTCCAGGGTTGACACAGCTCAGCTCTGCCGGTAGCACGGCACGACATCTTGTTGATTCCACAACGCGTGCTCGTCGTACGAAACGCTCCGGCCCCTATACAACCAGCAGCCCTGACATGCGGCAAGCATACCTCGACATCAGTGTCAGCACTCCACACTAGCCTTGGACTTGATGGGTGAAGTGGCTCGCTGCTGCCGCTGCCTCATGAACAAGCTTGTCAAGTCTATTCAAGCTTCGACGATTCAGCGATCGCCGGTTGCCACAAGAGAAGAAAAGCTAAGGCATTCGATTCCACAAGACCCGTCCCTCTTCCCCGGCACTTGACTTGGGAGCCGGCGGATTCTTCTTCAGAACCCGAAGACCCTGAGACCCACCACACAAGGCTTCTCAACCTCAACCCGGCCATCGCACGAAGAGCGCGCGCGAGGCCTCCGAGGAGAAGAACGTTCGGTCGCTGAACAAATCATCCTCCGTGACCTGACACCCGGCTCGGTCAGCCTGTAAACTCGCCCTGCGGCTTTGTAGGTTCACTTCGGCGTCTGGGAAACCGGACCATGTCCTTCAGCCAGAAGTTTTTGAACCTGTAACTCCTTGGCACGTACTGTAGCGCACTCTTACGAGGTGTCCAGCTCCGCCGCACCATGACTGCACGCAGCCAACTCAGTGTTGTCGAGGCCGCGGCTGCGATTTGAGATTCTCTTGGAAATGCTGAATTCCACTGTCTGTCTGCAATACCTGTTAAAGCACAGCTGAGCACCGCTGGCATCACTGGAACCAGAAGAACGTCGGTCCTGATCAATGAGTCGCATCTTTGGACCCGAACCATTCTTGCGCCAATCCTCGGAATGCATTCTTCGCAGCTCCGGAAAGTACCCTAAACCCAGAAACCCCAAAACCGGACATCCTAAACCCACCTCGAAGGCATTCATTCGCTTGTCGTCGTTGACGTCCCGGTTCTTCTTCTTGGAGCTCCTGCGACTAGAAAACCGACATGTTGTATGTTATGCGTTATGTACTCCATAAAGGGTGGGTATATACTATATATATAATACACAATCCACTGACAAGCTTTGGGATAGTAGAGTGGTGTGTGCGACGGGTCAACCTGCCCAATTGCAAAACAAGCCTGAAGACTAACACCACGTCTGTTCATGTCTTTCCCTTCGTCTTGGAAGCAAGCGTTCAAATCGACTCGAGGTAGCACAGATTTGACATGCTTTTCGGGTACATTGAACTGCAATTCGGGCTAGCGTTGCATTCCGCATCTTTCCGCACACTCGGTCGCAAAGTGAGATACAACATGATACAACCTCCTGCAATTCAAAAAACGGGCTCTGAAGATCTCCGAAGTCGTTGAATCTTTCAAGCGACATCCCCAACAGTAAAGGATGTGACAAGCTGTGGAAAGCTCCTCAAGGCCCAGGACGCCTTGCCTCTGGTACCCTGCACGGAGAATAGAACTGGAACTCGCCTGGCCACGCAATGCAGCTCAGTCATTGCAGCCAGCAGAGACGTGATACCGAAGATACTCGGTGCATATGATAAAGCAACATGAGAAAGCTGACAAAAAGGAAGGAAGTAAACGGCCCACATGCTGATCATAAGGAACCGACAGCAGCGCACACTTTCAAGCAAGAACTCTCGCGAAGTTCCCGGGCTAGCGGGTAGCTTTGGTCCGAGGTGTGGCTCTAATGGCTGCGATTGGGCATCAAGCAAGTGGTTAGCTTGACAAGTTGAAACTTCAAGACACGCCAACGAGCTAACGAGCTCAAAGAGACTCCATAGAACTTGCAAGCAATGTCTTTTGCAGCGAAACGAGAGGGTGGGCAGGATAAGAGATGAGAAAGCATGGATGCGAGCAGCGGAGCCACGGCGAGGTGTCACATTTCTTGGACGTGTTTGCTTTTGTTCTCTAAACTGCTCCACTTGTCCACACTGTTGCTCGGCGCGCTATGCGCGCTCAATGTAAACATTCACTCTGACTGCCCCCCATCCTTGTGAATTCGCTCCGTCTGCTCCCGTCCTCCAACTTGCTCCCTGCCCGTAAGTTGCTATGAAGGGGTCGGGACGAGATCTCCGTAGGCTCTGCTTGCTGCGCGACGTCGCTCCTTAGAGAGGTGACTTGGCCCCGCCTTCCCGCACATGTTCCCTCCGGGTCCCCGGGGCTTCGAGAATTTCAGAGGTTCAGCGAACGGCAGGCCGGCAGAAGCAGACATCTGCATCGGCTATACTATACTATGCTATACTATATTATATTATATCATAATCTGATGTATTACATTTCAATATACTATAATATAACATATTATATTACATTACTTTGTTCTATGTTAGTTTAGACTATGCTCGACATCGGCGCGTCTGTCGCACCCGAACCCTCGGCTCGACGACTCTAAGAGTGGGTCCCAAGTCTTCGTTTTTGTCTGGCCAGCGTCCGTGGTTTCGGGAAGGACCCCAAAGGAACTCTTCGGCAGTAAAGCTCCATGGCGCCGCGGAAGAATGACTCAACCGACCAAAGACAGCAGCCAGTCCAAGACAGCAGTCAGTCCAAAAGGGACCTAGAACTGTGCAGACTGACCTTTCCGCGCCTCGTAGATGCCCAGTTGGGGGTACGAGGGAGCTGTGCTCGCCGTGGCGATGTGCAGACGTAAAGGTCACCAGCAGGCAACTTGGTAGCAGCGCTGGCAACTCATCATGTCTCTCTACTTTGCCACAAGCTCCCTGAGCGGCTCACGGGATGCTTGCTCCAAGGCTTGCCACCTCCATCTTTCTCTCTCTACAGCAAGAAAGGCTTCACGTCAAGTCGAGGTCAAGGCCCATGCTGCTGCATGTCTCAGAAGGAGACCTTGGCTTCTGGAGTTGGAGCACCCGATTTTCAGCCCAGACCGGCCCAGGGAGGCAGAAAACTACAAGGCACCCACCAGCTCCCGAGCTGCGGGGCCTCGGAAGCTTCGCTCTCAAAACGCGGCTCAGGGGAACTCCACCGAGCCGCGCACGGAGGCCGATTCCTCGAGGCCCTGGCAGAAAGCCCCCTCTGAATCAGAAGCCTCTGTCTCTCTAGGCGCTGAAAGGGCAGTGCAGGCCTTGTCTGTGGACGTCAGCGAAGCTGAACTGACAGAGGCAAAAACATGGCAGGAAGTGCACGAGGCGGACATGCCTTTTAAGGGCTTCTGACTCATTAGCGCACCCACATGGGCGCTGCGTTCCTAAGAAAGCAAATCGGAGACGACCGAAACCTTGCCCTGCGTACACAAATGGCCCGAAACGGAAAGCCAGCGGATGGGCCATGATGGTGTATTTGTTGGGAGTGATAGTCAAACAAAGGCTCAAGCTCTGCGCCTGTAAAACAACGAGCAGTCTCTTTCGTGCTGCATGCTGCTCGGAAACGGGATAAACTTTCGCCGGTTAACAAAACTTTTGGGAAAAACCGACCCTCAATTTCAGTGTATATATATAGATATAAATATTATATAATATTATATTATATTCTGTTATAGTATATTATATTACATGATAGTATAGTATAGTATAAAGTATATTATATTATGTTATACTATATTATATAATATTATATTATATTATATTCTACTATATCATGCTATGTTGTATGACATATTAAGATATAACATATAATAACATATTCGAATATAATATTATAATATGTTATGATATATTATATGATATTATTCTTATTATATTATACTATATCAAATTATGTTATATGACATATTGAAATATAACATATAATATAGTAAACCCCAAAGTTACAATCCGTTATATTCTCATACATGTTCATACTTTATGTTATGTTCTATTATGCTATGTTATGTTGAACTATATTGTATTCTGTTATATGATATTAAATTATAATATTTATATTTTGCTATACTATATTATAATATATTATGCTACAACATATTATATTGTATTATGTTGTACTGTATTAAGGTATATTAAGTTAAAATTTATTGCATTATGATATATTATCCTTTATCATGCTATGTTA